TAGGGAAATACAGCTAGGATCAGAAAGAAACTTATTGAAGTGTTTAAACAGATTCCAAGTTATTTTGTCTTTTTTTATTAATAGTACATAAACATTTAGAACTATGCTCTCCCCTTCCCTTGTAAAGGGGAGCTCTTACCTGACAAGATCAATTACATTTTTTTCCAGATGCTACATCCTTCCCTCCTGGTTGGGGCAGAGTTACCAAATGACTAAGATCTTGTGATGTACAGGCATGTTCACTAGCCCCCTGGATCTTGGCCACACAAGTGTAACAAAGATAATCACTACACCCTTTACTCGCTTTAACTAAGCATTAGCAGTACATCTGCCATGTTCGATGACATGCAGTGGTTAAGTTTCTTGATGAAGGCTACAGACCCCATGATAATAGTTACTGCTACTGAGAACAGAGGTTGTCCTGTTGCTTGTGAGCTATTGGTTATGCTATTTCCTGGGATGAATTATGCTATATAGAGCATATTTATCCCATGCTTCCTTGCACTTTATCCAAATCACACACTATTTTTACTACGTAGGACTTGCTGACTTGTTCACATAGTATGAATACTAGCAGTTCTGTGAAGGAAAAGGAACAAGACACATTTCCCCCAACCCTGGATTCAGAATTAGGGGCCTGTGCATGGTCTGAGTTTTGTTCCACATAGGAAGAGGAAGTATATGGTTTAAGAGTCCTGGTTTTGTGTATACATATAGATGTAGGTTATCAAACTATACTATATGTAATAGTTTTTTCCTCTAAAAGGAAAAAAAACCCATTTCCATCCAGCTACATTTTCTTACTGTATAATATGAGTTTTACTTATCTATTTTTACTTAAACAACGTATGCAGTTTTTTCCTGTACTGACTTGACTATGATCACAATAAAATAATGACTTTCTTTTTGATACTATGAAGGTGCTATCTGGTTAATAAAGTTGCATGGACCTTTAGCCTGCTGTTCCTAAAGACAGGAAATAAAGCAGTAATAATCACACTTAAAGGAGCTAAAATCATGTTATGTCCAGTGCAAACAGCTGGTATCATAAGATGTGTGTTCTGTGATTTGAAAATCTGTTTTAAACATTGAGAATGAGTGTCTCAGTTGAATATCTGTATTTGGGGAATGTTATTTTTTGATCCAAATTCATTTCAAGGAAGATAAAAAAACTAGACATAAGTGACAACTTTTAAGAGTCCTTTAAAAAGTCCTTTTCTACAGTGACTAACCATAATTGTAAAAAAAAAAAAAGCACCTCAGTGGTAAATAGGCCTTATGATCTTCTCCCCAGGTCAGGCTTCCCCAGTGTATATATTACAAGTTATAGCTGCCAGCTTTCATAGATTTGAGACATTAGGGCTAGAAGGGACTTTGTAAGATCATTGGGTAGGAAGACCAAAGGGCAGGAAATCAGCTGGGGTCAGATGACCCCTGCAAAATAATCATACAAACACTTCTTGAACATGTCCAGAATAGGTGCTTGTACCATGTCTGGGGGGAGTCTGTTCCAGACTCTGGATAATCAGACGGTAAAGAAGTTTTTCCTTATGTCCAGTCTAAAAGTCTTCCAGCAATTTGTGACTGTCGGACCTCGTCTTCCCTTGGGGTACCCTGGTGAACAGATGTTCTCCCAGGTCCTGATGCACACCCCTGATGTACTTGTAGGCTGCTACCAGGTCTCCCCTGAGACTTTTCCAGGCTGAAGAGTCCCATGCCTCTCAGTTTTTCTTCCTAAAGCCTGGTTTCTTGACGTCTGATCATGCATGTGACTCTCCTCTGGACTCTTTCAAGCTTCTCCACACACTTTCTTGTGTGTGGAGCCCATAACCTGATGCAGTACTCCAGCTGTGACCACACGAAGGCCAAACATAGTGGGAGGATAACATCTTGGGCCTTGCTTGAGATGCATCAGTAGATACAAGCCAGGGTTTTATTTACTTTGCCAGCTGCAGCATTGCATTGGTGGCTCATATTCATCTTGTGGTCAGTCATGACCCCCAAGTCTTTTTCGATTGTAGTGCTAGTGAGTGTAACGCTGTCAAGCCTATAGGTATGATGTGGGTTCTTTCTCTCGAGGTGGAGCACCTTGTGTTTCTCTATGTTGAAAGTCATCAGGTTCTGACCCGCCCACTTTGCGAGCCTGTCCAAGTTGGCCTGAATCCCCATCCTATCCTCTAGTGTGACCGCGCATCCCTATAATTTGGTGTCGTCTGCAAATTTAGCCAATCTGCTTCTGACACCCGAATCCAGCTTGTTAATGAATATGTTAAAGAGTACTGAACCCTGAGGGATGCCGCTGGTCCCTATGCACCATGTTGATTTGGTTCCATCGACTATCACTCTCTGGGTCCAACCACCATAACCAGTTCCCCAGCCCTTGGACTGTAAGGTTGTTGAGGCTGCAGTTGCCCAATTTTGTCATGAGAGCATAATGGGAGACCAAATAAAATGCTTTTTTGAAATCCAAGCAAGAGTACTGAACCCTGAGGGATGCCGCTGGTCCCTATGCACCATGTTGATTTGGTTCCATCGACTATCACTCTCTGGGTCCAACCACCATAACCAGTTCCCCAGCCCTTGGACTGTAAGGTTGTTGAGGCTGCAGTTGCCCAATTTTGTCATGAGAGCATAATGGGAGACCAAATAAAATGCTTTTTTGAAATCCAAGCAAATGACATCAGCCTCTCCTCCCCTGTCCAGGTGATGTGTCACCTGGTCATAGAAGGAGATGAGGTTGTTCAGGCAAGGAGATGAGGTTGGTCAGGCATAACCTACCTGTAACGAAGCCGTGTTGGCTGTCTCTCAGAATGATGCCTTCTGTTAGCCTGTTGTTGATGGATTCTTTAATAATTTTTCCACGATCTTTCCAGGGATTGAGCAAACTGACTGGCCTGGAGTTCCCCAGATATTCCTTCCTTTCTTTTTTGAAGATAGGCACCACATTGGCCCTCTTCCAATCTTTAGGAACATCCCTTGAGTGCCACGAGTTCTCAAATATCCTTGCCATTGGTCACGCTATGATGTCAGCCAACTCTTTTAGCACTCTTGGGTGCATTTCATCAGGGCCTGCTGACTTGTGGATGTCCAGCCTCTCAAGGTGTTTCCCTCACAAGGTCTTGGCAAAATTTGGGTGCGTGGTCACCTGTACCCTCGTAATCCCGTGTCCTGTCAGGCAGGGATGGTGAAAAACTGACACAAAGTAATCATTAAGGAGATTAGCTTTTTCCTGGGTGTCGGATATCAGCTGCCTCATTGGATTCAGTAGGGGTCCAATGTTACCTTTATTTCTCTTCCAACTTCCCACATATCTGAAGAAGGACTTTTTATTATCCTTGATTCCCCTTAGCCAGGTTAGCTCGGTTTTGACCTTGGCTTTTCTGGTCCACTCCCTACAGGTGCATGCTAGTGATGCAGAAACCTCTTTAGAGGTATTTCCCATCTTCCAACCCTTGTGGGCTTCTCTTTTAAAATTCAGGAGGTCCATGAGCTCCCTATGGAGTCAAGGGGGTCTCCCAGACCTTTTACTACCTTTCCTATGGGCTGGAATGGACTTCCCTTGTGCTTTTAGCATCATGTCCTTAAGGAGTGACCACACATGTTGGACTCCCTTCCCTGTCAGATCATGATTTTTTAATCACCTAAAAAAATGTGCCTATTTTTTACAACAGTTGGCAATGCAGAGTAGATACAGCTATGGGAGAATGAGCCAATTTCTCTTCTGATTCATGCATTATCACCTAATTTCAACTGCAGGGTCAAATTCTGCCTATAATTAGGGATCTACCTAAATTGGGCCAGAAGTGTGCTGTGCAACATTTCCTTTAAGTTTGCTCTTTTCACTGCACACCTTGCCTGCTGCTGATTGACAGAGGGACCCCAGCGGCCTCGGTTGCTTGCCGCTTGCTGATCGGCCAGGAGGCAAAAACCAAGGCTTTAAATAGGCCACAGTTTTTGCTTGCCAGCCGATCAGCAGCAAGCAGCAGGTTTGCTGGGGCTCCTTGGCCAGTCAGCGGTGGGAGGTTTTAAGTAGATCCCTACCTATAATTCTCAGGAAACACCAGAGGAAATAGTGAGTTACATAAGTGTTATTGGCAGTGCAATTTGCTTAGCAAACACTGATGATGATAGCAACCAAAAAGAGCAGATTTGAGGCCCTAGGTTGAGACTCATTTCAGCCTGTAAGAATATCTCCTTGTCAGATGTGGAAGTCACAAAGACAAACATGGAAGCCTTCCCTCCTGCTCTCTACCTCCTTCCTCCAAAGAACAGTGTCATTATTAGAGTGGTTTTTCAGTGTGCGTTCCTAGGCATCACAGCAGAATGATGCACAGGGATAAAGATGCTATATTCTGGAACGCCAGACGGAACCTAATGCATGACTTGCCTCTAGAGTCATTAGACTCTGGGGAAGAGGAGGAAGAAGTGCCCTTTTTCTTTTTTTTCTTTTTTCCTACTTCAAATTTTAAAAATCTAGTTTCTATACAGATTCTTGCTAGTGTGGTTATATAGCTTCTTGTTTTGTGTCTTGCTATGCACACTGCGTAAAATGCCTGCTGGAAAAAAAAACACACCCCAGGAGCATTCCACGAGCATGCATGTGCATTTCCCCGGGGACAAATAGTAGATGCACAAATTTGTGCCACTGCTACTTGTCCCTGGGCATGCCCCTGCACCCACACTGTAGCATGCAGCAAATTGCCCTGGGTGGGGTAAGGAAAGCTGGGGCCAGCATCTGGGCTGGACACAGCAGCCTTACTTGAAGTTCTAGGGGCCTCCCAAGGCTTCAGCAGCATCAATCTAGGCACGCAGAGCATGGTTGGCAACCGGAGCATGGCTCTGGCTGGCCAGGCTCCAGTTTCAGGTGGTGCACACTGCTGCCACATGCACCACGCTTTTTTTTGGTGCATTTTTTTTCAATCCTGGGATTTCAAATAAGTAGCACAGTGAACAGATTAACATG